CTCACTTAACCTTTTACTTACTGCTGGTATAACATGTGGACCAGATGTAACTGTACAACATGGTACGCCGCAAGCAAAGAGTTAAAGTTTAAATCACATGACGGAGGAACATTGTGAAACAGTGATAACCCTCAAAAAGATAAAGTCACGTGATAAAAAAAAAAAAAATTTAACCTTTAACTATTTGACCTGTTTAATTTCTTTAAGCGGCTATTTAATAGCCTTTACTGCTAGTTATATTGGTTCTCTTCAAAATGGCAGACGGTTTGAAAAATTAACTAAAGAAAACAAACTCGAAATGTTTTGTACTTTTTTTAATCAACAGTATTGAATCGTAGAAGTGCATGGAGGTATAAATCTCACCCTATTTTTACCTCCATGCGTTGAACAGCAGATCCATGATGCGGCTTTACCAATGTTAAACTCCATCACTCATGTATCAAGCATTCGCCTGCGGGGAAGAGTCTTCAAAGGGAAACCAACCCGCGTTTGGGTTGCATAGAGAAGAAAATCACGAAAATTTCCCACTGTTAATCCAACGTCAAAGGGACTCTATCCCATGATCTTTAAACCACTGGGGATATTTGATGTTAGCACTAGAATCAGTGCGGAAAAAATGTACCAGTCGTCTAGCCAGCCATCAGCGGTATTTGAACCTGGCTCGCTTTATGGCTTCTGACATCTCTTAGTGATTTCAAGTTCTTAAAATTATTAGAAACTATAATTTATATACTTTAGGAATTTCTATTTTGATTTTCATATGAGTTTAAAAAATACTTTGACAAGGTATACGTAAAGATTACTTTTACGACCTGTATGGAACATGCATCTTCATTTTTAGACATATGTTTCTTACTTAACGTGAAAGAAATTATAAATAGAAAGCGAGTAATAGTAAAAGCACGAAGAAAAATGCAAATAAATAAAACTTTTAAAAGAATTTTTATATTTGTTCGATTATCTACTGAATTCTACTCGACGCATCCGGAATCCTGAAAGTGTTTCCATAAATTGCACACAGCGCTGGACGTTAAATTGAATTTTCTTTAAATCTGAATTTGTGTCCCCTTGAAACCAAACTAACAGTGGGATGTTTTTGTGCCTTAGTTCAATCAAAATGTCCCCCAAGAAGGCAAGTTTCTCCCAATACTTGATCCTTGTCTTCTGGATTGGGTTCATAATTAAAAGGTTACGGAATTGTACACAAGTAGTCCTTAACTCAATATTATGTCGGCTGCTCAGTGACGGTTATAAAATAAAAATCTTGATTTGAGGGCTGGGGTGGCTAGGGGAATTGACCGCTCGCCTCCCAATGAGGTGACCCAGGTTCGAACCCAGTGATGGCTGATGGATACGAATTTTACGCTCCCCGACCACAGTGTTGACGTAAAATATCCTCAGTGATAGACGGATCATGGGTTAGAATCCTTTTGCAGTTAGGTTAACCGTGAGAGGTTTTCCTCTCCGTGTAAAGCAAATTCGTGTTAGTTCTATCAAAAAATCCTCTGCGAAGGCGTGTTTCTCCCAATACTTGACCAGTTCTCTTATCTTCCGGATGCAGTTCAAAATTACAAGGCTACGGAGTTGAAGATTGGAAGTCGTAAATATGCACCATCACTTTTCAAGTAAGGCCAGCATTTATTTCGCCGACAGCCAGAGCTTATGTTTTTGCCGGGTACCATGGTAACAAGAGAAGGAATGCATGGAGAGTGGGAAAATCATGTAAGACACATATTTTATTTACGAATAGTATAGTCCTTCTTATTTGAATCCAACGTTTCTTAGTTATTAAGAAATTCACTTACTGTGTTACTGTGTACTTATCTTCTAAAGTATAAAAAATGTTTAGCTTTTATTTTTCATTTGATATTTTTTTTGTTAATATTATTGTATTTATCGTTCCCAGCTCTACAATGATATAAAGAATGACAATATAACAGGACTACACATCTATAGAGTGAAAGACATCCCCGAAAAGTATCATCTGAAGAAGGCTCCTCGGATCGGTCCTCTCTACTTGAATACTGAACCCCGTTATTTCATTAAAGCGGTAAGCATTGAGAAGACTCTTAAACTGCTTCGCTTTCTTGCCTTAATCTTTGTAATTAGGAATAATGATTCAACTAGTTCCACTTGCTCCGGCGTGAGGAAGAAAATCTCAGCCCCTATCCATACGTGGAAACCGACTTCAACAACAACGTTTCAACTATAAAGTCGGGTAACAGACAACATTGCTACGTCACAAAATAAAAGAATCACGCGTTGTCTGTTTACAAAATTTTAATCGTCTGAAAAATAGCAGATATACGGAAATATAACGCTTAATCGGCATAAAAAGCTTTTTTTTTTTAAATTAATTTTTTTATTAAGATTTAGGTAACAATTTTGTATTAAAACAGGCTTTATGCGAGATATACGAAGCGTGTCACATGTATAGCCCCCCCTCCCTCCCTCAAAGAAAAGGAACACCCTGATTTGATCTCGTGAGGGAAAAAACACTATTTTGAACTTAATATCCCACAAATTATTCTTCATTCAAATAAAACTATATAATTTATCAAAATGTAGAAATTTGTTTACCTTATTAGAATCATTCGTGGAAGAAATGTAAACAAAAATTAGCTAAAACTAATGCTCAAGAATTATTGCAATTTACTATTACCCACTAATATACGTGACATTATTATTCCTTATTAATCAAAAGCAGATCATTACATGGTAGGTAGGTACTTTATTTACGTCGCACTATGGGCTATTGGCGACGGTCTGGGAAACATCCCTGAGGATGAATCGCAATTTTGATCCTCTGCAGAGGGGATGGCCCCCTTCTTTGGTAGCCCGATGATCAGCACTTGAACTCGAGCACTTTACATGTAGAACAGTTTAACGAGGACCGATACAGCGCACCCTCGGTCCCTACGCAGGCTGATATAAGTGGTCAGATAATTACATGAAGAGTTAGCAATGATGTGCTCTTTTTTTCTCCCTTTTTGTGCGTTGAGCAGTACAAAAAAAAATAAATAAAAACGGAGCATAATCTGAATAACTTCTGATCTAGTGATCGGATCTTTAGGACTCATTCTTAATGGTTTAAAGGGGTGATCTCAAATATGCTAATTAATAATTGCAGACGATACTTTATGTTACGTTATCAAGCACAAATCTCTGAGTAATAAAATATTTTTTATATTCATCCACTCAAGTGTTCAAATACATTTTTTAAAGACCTGTAGTGGATGACACTTGATGTTAATTAAAGTTTTTCATTAATTAAATATTAATTCACTAATTAAATTTAACAAAAAAATTTCTCATATATTGAATATTTAGCAGGATATATATTTAGAAATAAATACCGTCACAGTGGCGAAGCGTGTAGATAGCTGGAAAAAATTTCTTTTTCAGATTCTACATAAATTATTTACTCAAAAGTAACTAAACTAAACATTTTCTTTGTTGACCTTAGTAAGAAATGACATTTTTTAAATTTTTTATATTACTTGTTTTTAACGGATTCCCGATCGTCAAAATAGGGAAGGAGAAAGTTGCAATCTGGTAAATATGGCCCTAATAGTCAGGCCAGGTGGGCGGTTAAAAGTTCGCACCCATGAGAATTTTATTTTTCACGTATTTCGCCAAATGTCGAGAACTTTTTAAGTGAATCGAAAATTTTTGGACTTTTTTAAAATTTGATACTTCAGACATCATCCAACCGATTCCATTCAACTTTTTTATTTTGTCATACAAAATAACATTCTTTAATATGATGTAAAAATTCGTATATCCCACAATCCAAAATTCTTTTAACTATTATTAAATTTTGTAAAAAAAAAAAAAGTAATCATAAATTTTTTTGTTGTTGCGTGGAATTACTTCTGGATAAAAGAGTTTTATTACTCTGTAGAATTTTTTTTGACTAGATTAAAAAGTTCTCGAGATACAGCAAAATACACAAAAAGTGAAATTAACATCAGGGGGTCCGAACTTTTGATCGCTCTCCTGATATTTCCCAGATTGTGGCTCTCCTCTCCTCAGATTTTGACGGTCATTAATCCAAATCCGTCCTAAAAAAAGTATATTTATTGAAAGAATGCACGTTTTTGTGCCTGACCTGGCAACTTAAAATATCGTCTCCTCTAATTAATTGGCATATGTGATCAGCCCTTTAAACCATTAAGATTGAGTCCTAGATCGAGAAGATCTGATCACAAGATCAAAAGTTATTTAGGTTATGCTCCGTTTTTTTTTTTTTTTTTTTTTTTTTTTTTTTTTGTACTGATCAACGCACAAAGAGGAAAAAAAAGACCATGTCATTACTAACTCTCCATGTAATGATCTGACCACTTTGATCAGCCTGCATAGGGACCAAGGGTGCGCGGTATCGGTCCTCGTTAAACCGTAAAGTGCTCGACTTTGAGAGCAGGGGAGCCATCCCCTCTGCAGAGGATAAAAATTGCGATCGTTACTGATCGTTAAGACACGGTTCCCAGCAGATCACCGAAGTCAAGCGTCACTGGCTGCGGTCAGTGTGCGGGTGGGTGACCACTTGGATCAGTCTACGTAGGGACCGAGGGTGTGCGGTATTGGTCCTCGTTAAACTGTGCTACCGTAAAGGTCGTCGGGCTACCGAAGCGGGGATGCCATCCTCTCCGCAGAGGATCAAAATTGTGATGGCATGTCTTCAGATCATCCTCAGGGATGCTTCCCAGACCGTCGCCAATAGCCCATTGTGCAGCTCTAATGCGACGTAAATAAAATACCTACCTTACATGCAATGATCTGCTTTTGATTAATAAGGAATCTCAATGTCTCAATATTAATCGGTAATAGTAAAATGCAATAAATCTTGAGCACTAGTTTCAGTTTTTGCAAATTTTTGTTTACATTTCTTCCACGAATGATCGCATGATTCTAATAAGGTCTAATAACAAATTTCTACATTTTGATAAATTATATAGTTTTAATTGAATGAAATCGGTAGAATAATTTGTGGGATATAAAGTTCAAAATAGTGTTTTTTTTCAATTGCATATGCTTAAAATGTTAATAAAAATATGCTTGTTTTATTTTTTAGTTAAATATGAAGAGTTAAATTGAAAAGCTAAATTAACTTTATGTAAAAAGTATCTAAAGTAATTAATGAAATGTGACATATTGTCGTGAAGATCAATCATTGTGAAGAGGAAATTAAGATTATCTAAAAAGCATTTTATGTATTTGATGAAATCGAAAAACCATTTGACTGACTGAGTCATGTGAGTTGACGTTGAGTCATAAAATAACTTCCGTATTGAGTAAGCAATCTAAATGAAGATACACCATAATTTCAAGTTGAATTAATAGCATAATTTATAACTTAACATGTGAGGATGATGATTCTCAGAATAAAAACCAAGATATAATTTGATTTTATGGATCAAATGATACTTTATTAAGTCACAAAAATAAAATAAAATGCAAAAAACATATTATTTCATCCCATTTAAAGAAATTGAAATTTTGTTTTTGAATAGCCTATTGGACAGTTGTTTATTATTTAGGTCTGGTTTTTAATAAAAAGGCTAAAAATATTCATAATGATATATGAATGATCTACTATTAGCGATATTATAAAAATGTTCCATTAGAATGACTTTAAAGTGGGATAGAGGAAATATCTCATTTAGTTTCATAGACCATTGACAATTATTTATAATCGATTGATTTATTGCATTGTTTTAAATTTTTATATACAGTACACAAAAAGGGAAAACGTTTTGTAAGTCAAACACCCGAATCCGACAGGAAGAAAAATAAAATTTTGTTTTTTAAAAAAAGTACGTCTGAGTTCGTAAATTTAAATATCATTAATACAGTGCTAAATTATGACCATCGAATTAAGTTTTATTTCTCGAATAATTACGATTATTTATTAGTACACATTCCTGTGAATGAAGATGTAAAAATATATGGGTTAAATTAGCGTATCTTTTTCTGCAAAATTACAATGTGTAATAATAATAATAAAAAAAGTTTCTACTTAAAATGTTAAAGTTGCTCCGCACTTAGGGAACATAGGGCCATGGTTGGTACCATCGGATAGCTTTTTGAAACATAATAAACATGCGTTTCCCCCCCTGTTCTTCGATCGAACTGGCATTTCTTGAGTTATTCGATTCCTGAACTCGTGGGACATTTTTTAATCTGTATAAACACACCAATAGCGCTTCGTCGTAAGCTCAATATTTCATGAACTGTTCGAAAGTTTTTCGGCTTACTACAATCAGCCCTTTAGTCTAACTAGGAAATGTACGTAGAATTACTAAACATTTACCTATGCTTATTGTAACGAGCACTTTTTAATAAGCTTATTTAGCAAAAGCCTTCACTATTCTAGGCTTATTGAAAACTACCTGAAATAAATCAGACTAATTGAGCAATGAATGATACAGTTACTAATTAGTCCAGGGGATTGACTGCATTAGCCTAAAATTGCCAGGTCGATTGCAAATTATCCATAAATATATTTTTTTCAGTTACAAGATCCTACTAAGAGAGTGGCAGATACATATTATCAGTATTATGGTGAGCATGGTTACGATCCAGAGACAGACAGGGATATGAAAGCCACCTTCATTGCAATGGGACCAGGTAAGGCTTTAAACAAACAATATAATTATCCGGTCCGATCTTTTTCTACTTAATTGGTTTTTTCAAATACTTTTTTGTTTTGTTTGATTCTCTTACTTTTTTACCCATTGGCAAAATGCGTCTTGGTTTGGATTTCATGGCATCCTCACTTTTCAACTACAATAATAAATAGTAACTAGGAGGCTCCTCCCCCTGCTCGCCATCCCCCGAGAATTGTTACGCAATCCTATGTGGTTCACGCCGTAAACCATGGCTCGCTCGCCAATGAACACAATGTTCTAGCACAAAGACATAATATATTATCATCAAAGACATAGTATTGTACTTATGTAGAAGAATTCTACCAATGTTCTTATTGGCTTTTAAAAAAGTATATTAGCTATTTAGATTGTACATGGTGAAAAAATCAAAACATTAGCTAAATAAGAAACATATTAGCAAAATAAATTATCAAATATTGCTTCACTAATATTCTGCATTTTAAAGCGTGAAAATTCAATGCATAAATAAACGCGAAATATAAAAAAATTCAATGCATTCAATACAAACACTTAAACGTTTTTTAGACGTTTAGGTAGCTCCCAGTAGAAAAATATCAATTCAACAGCGGCCTTTTAAAGCATTCTCACTTCAATTAATTAATTAATTCCTAATTGAGTTTAAATTAAATATTGTCATGTTTTTAGTGCATGAATCTGAATTGAACAACCTGATAATGCTCACTCTGGTTATTGTTATCTGGTTGCTCACTACGTGCTCTTGCGCGCCGAATCCAATCAATTAAAAATGAAAACGGTTGCCAGCGCGAGAAAAGAAATATCGTTGGTTTTATTGATACATACATACGTACGTATTAGCGTTTTATATAATAAGATAGATAGTAAACAGTGCGCATGCGTTGCTATGGCAACCGCTGCCGTTTGATAATTTTTTTAGATTTCTTTTTTTTTTCACTTTTAATTTTGTTATGCATTAAGTTGGTGAGTTTAATTTTGTGAATAAAAGAGAATTTCATCATTTTGAACGATATTTTGTGAATGAATATAGTCATTTTTAAAAAAAACCAAAATCCTTGATGTAGCTAGGAGGGGATTTCAGTAGTGATGCAGTACATCACTAATTAAAAAAGTATGATGATGTCGAAACAGCGAGCAATTATTTAAATTATTCTCAGATGTACAGAGTTTTAAATACAGAAAAGAACGAGATTAATGTAAAAATCAAAAATTTAAACAGTTATAGATAATTTAAAATGAAAATAACACTAGATATGTTCAAAATGTGATTAAAAACGTCTTTTTCTTAATTTTTTCGGTAAATATTATTTACGTGAGCTTCTTTTCTACTTATATACACTGTTAAAAATTGCTCGAAAAAATGGTAAAATAATAATTTATTTAATTGATATTCTGCCATATTCAAACAAAACAGTTAAATAATCATAACTAATATGGTATTCAAACTGTTAACTGGAAAAACCGTTTATAAACTGCCTTAATCTAATATAGTTAAACAACCAGAAATCAATCGCATCAACAACATAACTTAGTTCCTTGCAGATTGTAGCCGAGAGGGCTAACCTGTTAATCTCATGACCGATAGAACGGAGGTTCGAGTTTCAGCGCTGATACCACAATATTTCCCCCATTTCCTTCAATCCAGTGTCCTCCTCTCCTCAGTGATTCAGGTCTGTTATATACGATACTTTCATTCACGTACCACAAAACTGCTAAACTATCTCCAATGTCCAGTTAAATTTCTTTTTTGCGGTATTGAAAACATACTAGTTGTAAATGGTTAAAAAACCGTATAGTTTAGTATTCAATGTTTTTTCACCATACTAGTTGAAAACGGTTTCAAAACTGCAAAGGTAAAAATTGTTTTTTACCGTAAAATTTCCGATTATTTGCATGGACAGATTGCTGCCGGTTATTATACCATAATTTTAGAAGGAAAATGATAACAGTGTTGTCTATTTATAGGGTTAACAAACTGCTGTTCTTTTTTTATTTAAATTGTCTTGTTTTGAAATTTTATGGCTATTAAAACTATCAGTTTTAAAACCCCTTCTAAAAAAACTCCATAGCTGCTCTACTGACCAAGTCAATTTTTACGATATAAATTAATGTTTCAAATCGGTCACTATACTCAAGGTTGGAGAACTGTGAAATTTTCTATTTAACGGAACTGAGAAATGGTTACATTTACTTGTTCTATGGTAAAATATCAACATGCAAACACTATTTGTTTAAAAACACGGAAAATGCAATGTAGAGAAGGGAAAAAAAATGATCGCATGCGAAATAGACCAGACAATGTGTTTTATTGTTCAATATTTAAAGCAGATAACCTGACATGATAAAGCTCCGAAATATTTTTGAATGGTCATCAAATTTGGATCAAGGTTTTAGTAAAATACGTCACGCAATAATTTTATAATGAAGTTTTCAAAAAATACGTTTCTCAAATGGAATAAAAGCGATAGAAAAAGTATTATTTTTGCTAGACCAAATTTCTATTTTGTTCTTTTCCGTTTAGAATCTGTTAATGCCGCAGTTATTTGTTTATCTTGTAGTCAGTTGATGTTGAAAAGTGATTGACGATAAATACAACGAGGTTAAATTTTGATAGCTATAGTTAGGAAACGATTGTAAATTGTATTGTTATCAGACGCAGAGCTCCAGTTAAGTTTTGCTCACTCTAGCTAGTCAGAAACAGGTCGAAATTTTGATTAGTCTATGTGGCAATAAAATATGCTTCTAGCGACGCGGAAAAGACTGAAAGTTGAATTATCATCAGACACCAGTAAATCATTATATCTAATTAAAACAGTTTTCAAAATTTTAATGGCGACAAATTTAGTTTAAAACAGACAGAATATGATTAAAGCTAGTGATGTCTCCCAACACAGAGTTTCAGTTAAAATTTGAGTCCTCTAGCTAGTTGGAAAGTGGTCGAATTTTGGTTGTCGTTTAATTTCCCCTGGCAATAATATCGCGATAAATTTTGCTTGTAGCGGTTAAAAACTGTATGAAACTCGCACTGTCATACGGTACTAGAATAATGACAAAAACGCAAAAGGCGAACCTTCCACCAGACTAAACCTTTTATTTCGCTTCTCCTGGATATTGAGATATTCTAAGTTGTAGTAAACCCCAATGTTTTGAGGGCCAAAAAACCTAAATCCGCAAAAAATAAATAAAATTAATACTCATAATGCTATGAGATTTCACTCAACTATTAAAGGCTGTCATAAATTTCTCTATACATACTTCATGCGTGCAACTGCATGTTCTTGACTGTATTATTTTTAAATATTAAATAAAAATTGTGATCGCCTTAGTCAAATGCTTTTTCTTTCTGGATTGACTCCGTTAAACGCCACAACATTTCAAATCATGGGTTGCAAAAACTGTCTCAATTGATGTTAGTCGTCGGATTGATTTTTCAAATCCTGCCTGTTTTAAGAAGTCACAAAATACTTTTCCTTCGTCAGCATTCATATTTATATTGAAGTCACCGTCAAGCCAGTAATTTTACGTTTATAATAAAAAGAATATAAAAATACTTTAAAGTATTATGTGAATACATGAAAAATGCTTGCTAGTGAAAATAAAAATAAAAACAGCAGCGGTCGCCATAGCAACGCATGCGCACTGTTCACTATTACTCTTGAACACAGGTGAAAAGTGTGTTAATGTACCAATTCACTAGTATATAAGACATGTTAACTTGAATCCATTTTGAGATACCTTTTGATAGATGAAGGTTGACATAGTCGATTTATAATTCCCCTCAATTCCTTTGCCATCTGTGGGACTAATTGTGGAAGGTTTTCCTCTCTGTAATGCAAATACAGAGTAGGTAAATGCATTAGGTCAACTGAAAAGTCCTCAATGAAGGTTAGTTTCTCCCTATGCTTAATCCAGGGGCTTCCTAGTTTTCTAGGCTGGATTCAAAATAACAAGGCCATGGAGTTAAAAATTGATAGTTGAACCCCAAAATGTTTTGGACTGTTATAAAATGAAAAAATCCAATTGGTTTTTATATTCACGGTTGCCACTCATATCTGTAAAAAAAAATCCCGTGTTTTCCATGCACATATTATACACAATATATTAGTAGGAAACACACATTCACAGCAATCTTGTGAGCTATATATTAGGATAAAGATGCTAGTTTTAGTTGCTGGAAGAACTTGAAGAAATAAGAAACAGCTCAACATAAAACAAATAATACTATAAAAAATGAAATATTATAATACTGCTGAACTATCATCTTTAAATACTTGTATCTCACAGATTGTGATTTGAGAGGTCTGCATTTTTTAAAATACAAAAATAAGAAATAAAATTCCCTGTATTTCCCCAGTTTGTAAGGATAAATTTCAAATTCCCTGTATTTTCCATGTTTTCCCAATGGAGTGGCAACCCTGATACTTTATTTTATAACCGCCGTTGCACAGCCAACCCGATTTCGGGTTCATGACTACTAATGTTCAACGCCGTAGACTTTTAATTTTGAATCAATCCAGATGACAAGGTAACTCCTGGATCAGTGACCCCAGAGGTATGATCTGTTATGGGAACATGGAGGACTTCGCAGCTCGACAGATTTAACGTGCATCAGTCACCATTTATTACACGGGGAGCCTTCGGCAGGCGGGGATCGAACCCACAACTTCTTGGACATGAGCTTAGTGCCCTACCAAGCAGGATATTCCGATCCAAATATGATATTAGCAATTTAAAAAAAAAAAAAAAAAAAAACACATTAACATAAATTTATGATTTGATGTTCTGAGTAACTGGTTTTAATTTCCTTCCAGATCTGCGTGGTAATTTAAAACCTCAACCTTTCGATATCATCGATATCTACAATCTAATGTGCCACTTGTTGAAGATCGAGCCTCTACCCAACAATGGAACATGGGAGCATGTAGAGCCATTGCTCAGAACAGCCAAAGATCCACCCTTTCATCATTCTTCTTCTGCCTCTCATCATCCAATCCTGATACTCATCATCATCATGGTTGCTGTTCTTTTCCCTCTTTTTACAAAGACTGTATTGTAAATTATCTATTTTATATATCTTATTTTTCATATCATGAGTAATAGCGTCTAACATAATAAAAAATTATACATTTGTTTTCAGTGAAATACTTTTAGCTAACTTTTTTTTGTGGCAGCAAAAAAAAAAATTTCAGATTCACCCTGGTTAGGAATGCACACTTTTTCCATGCTGGTTAGAGAATACAGCTAATGAACCAGGGGTCCTCGGTTAAGTCCGTATTGGTAGCCAAAGAGCATCTTTTGTACTCCTCCATGCTCCATGTCGTGGAATTTTTTCGAGCTTTCCATAACAAAACTCTCTAGCACTAATATCTTTCTGCAAGGCACTTTTAATAATAACAAACACATATGTTGCTAATTTTAAATAACAAAAGCGCTGAGTTTACAGAAAAAAAACTATATATATTTTTTTAATTGAACATGTAATATTTATTTTTTATTCTAATATGATGGGTGATATTTCTGCATTTTGTTGAATCCTTGCAAACGCACTAATTATCTCCTTTTCCACATTTTGTAAATAAACATCACATTAAAAAAATAATTAAAAATCATGAAATAGTAATTACCGAAAAAAAAAGATCGCCGACGAAATTACACGAATAATCGGATTCTTCAAA